CCGGTTTCAAAAAAAAAAAAAAAAACAATTCTGGGCGGTTTTTTGTCCTGCCCGGTTTACCCGGGCGCCCCCCCCAGGCCCAACCGGCTGGGCCCAGCCCGGCAGGGCAGGCCCGGCCGGGCGGCATCCTCACTCAGCGAATTTCAAATTTTAAAAAAACTCAGAAAATTCTGAAAAAAACGAAAGTTGTACAACATTGCAATACAAGCAACTTTTGCCTGAGGGTCATGTCGAAATTCACAACCGAATTTTGAGAAGAGAAAAAAAAACAAGAATAAAAATATCTTTTGACAGCATTTTGTAGTGTTTTCTGATTTTCGATTTTTCAAAAATAATCCACAAAAATAATCCCAAAAAATCTGAAAAAAAAACTATGTTGTACGAAATTAGAATACAAACAACTTTTGCCTGAGGGTCTTGGAGACATTCAGAACCAAATTCGAGAAAAAAAATAAAAACTGTCTGGTACTACAAGCTCCTACAAAGTTGTACTCTAAAACTCGTGGTACAACGTACGTACGTTCTATTCGAATACAACATACCCCGTACGTTGTATTGTATTCGTATACACCATACGTACGTTTTTTGGGGGTTAAGACAGTAGTAGTAGTAGCAGCAGCAGTAGCAGCAGCAGCAGCAGTAGTAGTAGTAGTAGTAGTAGTAGTAGTAGTAGTAGTAGTTACTGTTGTAGTAGTAGTAGTAGTAGTTACTGTTGTAGTAGTAGTAGTAGTAGTAGTAGAGGTATTAGTAGTAGTAGTAGTAGTTACTGTTGTAGTAGTAGTAGTAGTAGTAGTAGTAGTAACAGTGAAAATGAATGTCTAAGTAGTCATAGCAGTATCCAGTAGTATTCTTTCTCTTTTTCCTTCTTTTTTTTGAGAAAACTTTGAGTGCAGGGGCACAACTTAATGAATGTCTAAGCAGCCATAGCAGTATCCAGTAGTATTCTTTTTCTTTTTCCTTTTTTTTTTGAGAAAACTTCGAGTGCAGGGGCACAACTTAGGGAGGTGAAATGTGGTAGTGCTAAGTGGTAAAAAATACTTAGTGATGGTACCAAGCGGTATACTAAGAGCCATTGCTACGCAGTCACAACAGTAGTAGCACCAGCAGTAGTCCTGAACACAGATTATCTTACTAGTCACAAAGCAGCAGCAAGTATTATTCTATGTGGTACTAAGCTGCATACTAAGTGCAAGTGCACGTGCACCGTGCACATGCAAGTGCACGTGCAAGTGCTAGTGCACGTGCTAAGCAGTCACAACAGTAGCAGCAGCAGCAGTAGTCCTGAGCACAGACACTGTCTGGTAGTCACGAAGCAGCAGCCGGTACTATTCTATGTGCTACTAAGCGGCATACTAAGTGCAAGTGCAAGTGCAAGTGCTAAGCAGTCACAAGAGTAGCAGCAGCAGCAGTAGTCCTGAACAAAGACTTTGCCTTAGTGGTCAGGACTCACGGAGCAGTAGTATGCTATGTGGTACTGCTAAGTGGTAAACCATACTTATAGCAAATACGAATACTGTATGTATGGTAGTACATTAATACTAATACTATGTGGTA